TGCTGATGAGTTTTCAAGTGTTCTTTATATTTGCTTGACACAAATCATTCATCATAGGTGTAATATACAAATGTTTTCTGAGTGTGCCTCACTCATCATTTCATTCTCTCAACAGTGTTTCTGACAAGGCAAAAATTTCAGTTTGGATAAACAAATACCCATTTACTAACTTCTTGTTCAGTGGCTGGAGAGAAGGTTCGTGTGTGTGTGTGTGTGTGTGTGTGGTGTTTTGAAACTTTTAACAAAAACCAAGCTCTCAAGAACTTTATATTTTTGGGAAAGGTTTTATAGTTACATTTTCTTCTGTTATCCATTTTGAGTTTCCTTTTCTATGAGGTGTGAAGTGTGAGTAGTGCTGAATATTTGGACTGACAATTCAATGATTCAAGCACAGGAATGAAAACATAGAGTCTTCCACTATCCCAGGAGCAGGAATCAGGATGCTGTCACCAGGATTCCAAAAGTTGCAATCATTTTGACCATGGTGGGGTTCAAGTATCACCTCAGCTGCAAACAATTCTGAGTAGGGAGGCAGGGTAAATGGATTCCAGTGCCACCAACAATCAAGATCCAGGACATTTAGTGGGACCTGGTAAAACAGGCCTCTGTTTTCTGTCTTATAAAAGACGATATTTTTCAATAGATTTTCTTTTGTTTCAGATATATAATAGGTTCATTTACTGGGTGGAAATCCTACCAAATATATCTAGATTCTAGCAATGCATCTACTTTCTTCTTTCCCTAAAATGTTGTTTCCTTACTTGTTAAATGTTCTAAACCTAAGGATAAATGTGTATGTACATATCTGTATGTGCAGTTCTAATGTAAAAGATCCATATGTGTAATAGTTTTGTGTTATTTTTACTATTATAGTAACATTAACTATTGTAATAAACTTAACTATTATAACATGTGAATTCTCACCTCCTGTAAACCTTTAATAACAACTATAAACCACAAACACAAGTAATGATTACTGATGTACACATCTTGGTAAAAAAAAAATGGTCAAAATTCAAAAGCCAGTCTCAAAATCATTATCTATAGAAATAAAGTTTTGAGAGTTCAACAGTTCTGAATTTCTGCCTATCTCACCATTCCAAACACAATGAAATTTCTCCAGAATCCACTGGCTGAATTAGTCCACCTTAGAGTCTCTGCCCAGATTTTCTCTGGCAACACTTGGCTGTGGTAGTTGATCGATTTTTTTTCTGTCCTCTGTTGTGGTACCAGGTGTCCTCTGGAGGTTCTGATGAACTGCCATATCCTCCATGTGCACCTGGATATGCTGTCCACTGCTCTGTCTGAGCTTCTAAGGAGGCTCAGCTTTTGACACATGCACGCCATGGTCAGACCATGTAACCTGCACTTCTCTTCATGGTTGGGGTTCTGAGATCAGCAATTCAGTTGGAGAGATCCCCAAAGAAACTTCATCTGAGGTGATCCCAGATCTGATTCCTTTGTGTGCATGCCAGTACCAGGTCCAGCACAGTCTGTCGTCCTAATCAGCTTATGCAGATGCCTGTGGTTGCAACTGCTGGGTCACTTCTATTTATAGCCCTGTCTTCTACACAAACCAATAGTTGTTGCAATCCAGCCAGATCCTGCCCACCACACACATGGCTCTCACGCAAACCAGTGGGAGCTCAAGACTAGTCAGAGCAACCCACAACAACCCCCACCAGGCCAGCCCCCTACCCTGGGACCCATGCTTGCCAATATGAACAGCAGACTGCTCCAGTCTGTCCCATATCCCATTCAGCTCTCCTACATGTTGGTGGGCATTGAAGTCTAGTTCAACGCAACCAGCCCCACTACCCAGCCCACACACACATGCTGGTTGCTGTTCTGTCTAACCATGCCTTTCCCAGTCTTATTTTCACGCTGTCTAGTGGCTCTCCACTATTTTCATACTCTTCACTATTTCTCTATTGTGCCCACTCCCACTCCCATATCATGCATTCTCCAGGTGGTTCTGCAGTTTAGCTTGATAGAATTTGCCTCCGGTGCCAGCATCTGCTGGCTGATGCTGTGGCAAAGCCCAACCAACCCTCACCCACTCTAATTTATGCTTGCACTAGTAGGAACATTCAGTCCAGCCTGGCTTTTCCCTGATCTAACAACATGAGACTCACAGGTGTTTTAGCCCTGTCTGATCTGGTCTGTACCCAACTCACGTTCTCCAGTGGGAGTGGCTGTCCAGCAGAGGAGCCTCCACATTCCCCCTATCAGCTTTGCCCCCTGGTTTTCACTTGTGCTGGTTGGGTGCTGTAGCTCAGTCTGGCATGGCCTGCCTCACCTCAGCATTTTTCAGTGAGTGCTGTAACCTGGTTCATCCCTGCCTACCTGCAATTCCAGTTTATGCTGGTGAGGGTTACAGCCTAGCCCAGCCCAGGAGACATCCAGTCCCAGCCATTGGGACTGGTTTGGTTTGGTTTGGTTGTACTGGTATGTGTTGCAACCAAACCTGGCCTGACCCACACTCTATTCTTGTGTTTGGATTTGCCAGAGGTTGTTGTGAACTGGTTCAGGCTGGTCTGCCCCCGACCTGTGCCAAACATATGCTGGTTGGTACCATTCTCTGGACTGGTCTGGGCTGCTCCCTATCATGGTTCTTGCACTCACCTTCAGCGACTGTGTCCCAACAGAGGAGTTTTCTAAGCTTTTCCATCAGAACCTCTCCCAAGGTCAGATCTCACACACACTGGTAGGTCCATGGGCCAACCCTACTGAGTCCACCTCCTGTCCTGGCAGGAACAGTGGCTTTTCCTGATTGACCTTCACCCATTCCGGTTCTTAGTGTTGGATGTTTCAGCCCAGTCAAGGCTGGTCCATACCCAGACATAGCTCACACATGGCTCAGTAGGGGCAGAGACCTAACCTAGCCCATCCTACACCTAACCTAGTCTTCTAGAGCATGAGTTGATGCTGGAGTCTAACCTAGTTTGGTATGCCCAGTCCCAGTACACACTTGTGCCAAGGGACACTGCAGCCATGTCCAGATCGGAATACAGCTACTACTCCTGCCTCTGCATTCATGCAGTGGGAACCACATCCCAGCCAAGGTGTCCCCTTTGCTCCCCAACTAGGTCTGTTCCCAGCCATAAATTGCACACATGCCAGTGGTTGCTCTGATCCAGCTTGATATAGCCCCTAATTTGTTTTGGCTTTTGCCTTAGATGCTGTTGCCTGGCCTGACTTGGCCTACAGCACCATCCCAATTCTCACTGGCAGGTAACAGAACCTGGCCCTATTCAGACTATTCCCATCCCTGGCTCATGCAAACCAGTAGATTCAAAAACCTAGCTAAGCATGATCAGTGCTGCAGCTTGATTTCTGTTCTTGCTGGTGAGCTAAGGCTTGCACAGTCCTGCCTGGTCCACCCCCTTCCATAACCAACCCATACATTAGCCAACAGTTGGAGCTACTTTGCCCAACTTACCTAATATCGCCCCCCCCCCCGGCCTGCACCATGTGATCATCAGCAAGAGTTATGATCTACTAAGGGAGTTTCCTATGTTCCCCCACTTGGCCCACTCCCAGACCATATCTTATACATGCCAGCAGGTGTTAGGCCCTTGCCCAGCTAGTCTGCCCTTCCATTTTGGCTTTGCATGTGCTGGTAAACAGGACTGCAATATTTGTTGAAAGACATGTAAATTTGGAACCAGTACTGCCTCAAAGAAATAATGAGCAAGTTGAGGCAGTTTTGATTGTTGTAACTGGGATGTTTTGAGTGACAGGGTATTTTTTCCACGAATTCTAGGAATGCCTATGCTTGTGTAAAAGCATAGACATGCATGTTCATAGCAGTTTTAGTTGTGATAGCCTTAAACTGAAAATAACCCAACCTTTTTCAGTGGGTGAGTGGCTAAACTATGTAATTATGCAAAACTACTCAGAAAGAAAAAGGAAGAAGGTATTCATGTTGCAACATTTGGGCTTCAAATGAATTATGCTGGGCAGAAATGCCAAACCCAGTTACACATTATGTTACTCCATTTATATTAGCAGTTATAACTTTTAGAGAACTTAGAGGTGGATGAAAAATTAGGGATTAGTAGAAGGATAGGTGGCAGAGATGGTTACAAAGAAATAGCAGAAGAGGGGTCAGGGTGGTGGCTCATCAGAGTGATCCTTCACCCACAAGCTTCAGCATCTGTTGTGTGTGCTGGTTCATGTCCAGTGCTGCTCCACTTCTGTCCCAGCCCCCTACTATGGTCCAAGCTTTTGGGACCCTGCATCCATGTGGGAGACTGGGAAGAACACCTGGCTTAGAATCAGGACAGCTCTGGCCATTGTGGCAATTTGGAGAGTGAACCAGCAGATAGATCTTTTTCTGTGTCTCCTCTCTATAAAGTCATGCTTTCAGTAAAAATAAATGTCTTTTTTTTTAAAAAAAAAAAGGAAATAGCAGAAAAGATCCTTGTGGTAAAAGAATTCTGTATCTTGGCTGTCATAGTACTTATATGAAGCTACACTTGACAAAATTGCATTGATACACACACATATACACACACACAGAGTATCTGAATAGCTGATGAAATCTGAATAAGCTCTGTCAGTTACACCATTATCAGTGTCGTAGGCCTGTCATTGTACTGTGGTCATGCAAGATGTCAGCATTAAACGTAGATAAAGGATTCAAGAACCCACTGATACATTCCTTTAGAATTTTTTGGTGAATCAACAATATCTTAAAAAAAAATTCAAGGTGAGAATGTTATGCTTAACCGCTCCCTGCTTTGCAATCATTAATTCATGGCCAGTGTTGTTTCATTTGTACCTGTACTGTCTTACCTATTCACATTATTTTAAAGCAACTCCCAGGTGTCGGGTTATCTTACACATAGATAGGTCAGTAAAAGTAAGAATTTTTATTATTAATTATAATAACAAATAACCATAATTCTATAAAGAATGTTAGTATGGCAGGCATTTAATTCCTAGACATTTTTTTTCCTTCTTAACTCATGGTCTCAATTCATTCATTTATAAAATCACTTCTTATTTCCCTTTTCAGGCTTTCCTTTTGCATCCTTCTTCCCTTTCTTATCTTTTGGAGAGGTCTTGCCTTTCTTGCGTGTTTTTGTTAGGTCTCCAAATCTCCCGAGGCCTTTCCGCACCATTGTTCCACGCCACCACGCCTGAATCTGAAAGCAAGATTAAACCCAAACTCAGACTCAGCTGGCATCAGGCTGCCAGGGGGTGCCTGTGGAGGTGCGGTTGATGGTTGGTTCCCGAGGTGACAGTGGTTCCTATGGTTCCGTGCCGGTCTTGGAGACCTGCGTTAAGTTTTTCAGGAGTGTGTGAGTTCTTGCCCTCCTCTGAGAGCTGTTTGCCTCCCCTTGTGTTTTGCCTCTTTCTTGCATGCAATTCAGTTGACCTTTCACCCCTGCCATGTTATGAGACCCTAGCCTGATGTCACTACTATGCCCCTCGGCTTCCAACCTCCAGGATCGTGAGCCAAAACAGACCTTTATTTTGCATCAATCCTCCATCCCAGGTATTCTGTCATAGCAACAGAAAATGGACTAAGACACTGAAGAAGCGGTGATTTTTATTGTTCTGGTATTTGGTCTTAAAGATGTGGAGAATGGGGTATGATTTAACTGGATTTTCTCTTTCTTCATTGCCATTGTGGGAGAGATGGAGGATGGACTCTCAATCTTTTGTGTGCCAGCCACTGTTCTAGACCTTTGGGAATTAGTGGTTAAGTTATAATGTCCCTGACTGAAGGAAGCTTGTGTTCTTGGGGGAAGAAAATCCAATGACCACGTGAATGCACACTGTAGCAGATGGAGGAAGGGAATGAGAGTGCACAGGCCCTCTCTTCTCCAGTTTTCGATGATCTGGGCCCCTACCTAAAGGCCATCCCCTCTCCTATTATTCCCAGGATCTCATTTTTTTCCACCTTTACATGAATACTCCAGGGTCCAGTGCCATGGTGTAGCCCAGGGTCCAGTGCCATAGTGTAGCAAGAAGAAATATTAGTTGGCAGGTCAGCTAAGATCTGCTATCTGTTCTAGGGGGGGCATTTAAGTCTGTGAGAAGTTCAGAGATGTGTGAGCATAATATATAGTTATGCATATTACATATAATATATAATTATATACAATATAAGAAGTTCTTATATATTATATATAATGTTAATATATATAACATGTAATAAATGTATATGATTTACTTATTTACTTGAAAGGCAGAATTTCAGAGACACAGAGAGAGAGAGACACAGATACAGAGAAAATTCCACCCCCTGTTTCATTTCCCAGATGGCCATATTAAGAGCCAGGAACTTGATGCATGATTCCTATTTGGGTACAGGATCCAAAGCACTTGGGCTATCTGTTGCTGCTTTTGCCAGGCCATTAGCAGGGGACTGAATCCCTTTTCTCAGCCTTTTGACTAAGATCAAATGTAGCAGGGAATGAATCAAAAGTGGAGCAGGTAGGGGCTTGCATGGTGCACGGGCTCACCCTCGCCCCCATCCCTCATGCTATGGAGCCAGTATCTCATGTTGGTGTCAGTTCTAGTCCTGCCTACTCCACTTTCAATCCAGCTCTCTGCTTATGGCATGGGAAAGCAGTGGAAGGCCTTGGGACCCTGCAGCCGTGTAAGAGATCTGGTAGAAGCTCCTGGCTCCCATCTTTGGAGAAGCTCAGCTCTGGTCATTGTGGCCAATTGGGGAATAAATCAGTGGATGGAAGACCTTTTTTTTCTCTATCTTTCCTTCTGTGTCTGTAAAATCTGCCTTCCAAATAAAAATAAATCTTAAGGAGTAAAAAGAAGGAGAAGGAGGAGGAGAAGCAGCAGTGCAGACACGACACAAACCAGCACCCATATGGGATGCTAGCATTGCAGGTGGTGACTTAACTTGCTGTACTGGCCCCAAATCATTGTATATAAACCAAAACAGGCTAGCATTGTGGTGCAGTGCGTTAAGCCACTGCTTGTAGTAAAGGCATCCCATATCAGAGTCTTGACTGCTCCATTAATAATCAATCTGGGAAGAAAGCATAATATGGCCTAAAATTTGGGTTCCTTCCACCCTTGGGGGAGACCTGGTTAGAATTCCAAGCTCTGGTTCAGCCTGGACAAGCCCAGCCCCAGCCTCGGCTGCTGCAGCCATTTGTGGAACGAATCAGCAGATGGAAGATCTCTTTCTCTCTGTGCATCACTCTGTAAAAATAAATAAAATGTTTTTACAAAAACAAAACAAAACAATGCAGGCAAAATAAAAAGCTTGTTCCACTCTTATCGGCTCAGCTGTGAGCAAGGTTTCTTGGAGCTTTCATCTGTAAAATGAAAAGTAGGAGCAGAATCTATAATGAAATTTGACTCAGAAATTAGTAATTCACGGATAAATACATAAACTTAGTGAAAAAGTATCATTTGATTAAGTCTTTCTAAAATATCCTGGGTATCTAGTAATTATACTACTAATAATTGTAATATAAAGCCATTTAGAAAACTAGAAAGTTTTACAGGAGTGAATTTTTTTTAAAGACTTATGTATTCTTTATTTGACAGGCAGATTTTACAAAGGAAAAAGGAGAGACAGAGAAAATTTTCTAGCCTCTGGCTGACTCACAAAATGGTCACAATGGCCACAGCTGAGCCAGCTGAAGCCAGGAGCCAGGAGTCCCCTCTGGGTCTCCATGTGGGTGCAGAGCTTCAAGCACTTGGGCCATCCTCCACTGTTTTCCAAGACTATAAGTAGAGAGCTGGATCAGAAGTGGAGCAGCCTGGACACGAACTGGCACCCATATGGGATGCTGGCACACCAGGTGGAGGATTAGCTTGCTACGCCATTGTGGCCTGCCTATCGGGAGTGCGGGTGAGGTAGCAGTGAATGTTTAGCCTAGTAGTTAAGTGCCCACATCCCATCTGCGTTCAACTCCTGGCTCCAGCTCCTGCCTCCAGCTTCCTGCCAATGCAGACTCTGAAATAACATGTTGGGCTCAAGTTGAGTCCACATGACAAATCGCTTGAATTCTCAGCTGTGAGTTTCAGCCCTAGACAGAGGTCCCTGTGGGCACTGGGAAATAGATGGGAGTTCTCCACCTGTCTCTGTACCTTCCAAGTAAATAATAGAACTCTGAAAAAATTCAGGTTGGGGTTGTTGTATAGTGGTTAAAACCACTGCTTGTAAAGCCAGCACCCCACGTGGGCGCCTGTTCATGCCCCCACTGTTCCACCTCTGATTCAGCTCCATGCAAGTGCCTTGAGATAAGTAGCCAAACATGGTCAAAGTACATGGGCCCCTTCCACCCATGTGAGAGACCCAGATGAAGCTCCTGACTTCCAGCTTTGGCACAGTCCAGCCCTAACCATTAAGTCCAAACTAATGATGGAAGATCTCTGTGGTCCCCCTCTGTCCTTGTGACTTTGACTTTCAAATATATGGATAAATCTTGAAAAAAGGAAAAATAACCAAAAAAATCCAAATCAAATATGTGGATAAATCTTGAAACAAAAAAATTTAAAACCCTATAGTCACAGGAAAAAAAGTGTTTTTTTTTTAATTTAACATTTAATTCTGTAAATACTTTTATTTACAGAATAAATAAAAAGGCTTTATGGAAGGCTTGACATTTTTAAAATGTACTCATATATATGTACATGTATATGCATGCTTATATAGAGAGAGATTCTGAGGAGAAAGTGGGATGGAAATACATATTCCAAAAGAAAAAGAATCTTGCAAAGAGCTTCAAAGTGTTTTGAAAAAAAACTAATGCTGACAATATTTCACCATAAATTTTAAAAACTGACCTAATAGCTCTATTTGAAGGTGTCAACATTCAAAATTCACTGCTAACTATTACCTTTGCCATCATTTAAGCTTTGTAATAAAATATTTAAATATTCAGATCTGTCTGAAAGTAGCTGTAAACCTCTTCTCCAAGATGGAGGGACCAGGTGTGATGTGTCAAGAGCCGCCCCAAAGGAAAATCCCTGGGATCTGGACCCCCTCCAAAACCATGGGGAGGCCTTCGTGAGAATGCCTGCTGATATTACCTTTATTGCCATTCTTTTTCTGTTGCGGCTTTCCTTAAGGTAGGCCCATATGGCCTCAGTGCCTTTAGCACACACGTCTGTGGGGGGTTCTTCCATTGGATTGTCCTTGAGAGACAGAACCTTAAGATTCACAAGAGAATCCAAGTTCTCTGGAAGATGCGTGAGCAAGTTGTCATCCAGCCATAGTTCTTTCAAAGCTGAAAAAAAAAAAAAGTTTCCAATGATAGGTTTATCTTGATGACAAGCAGGAACAAATTAGTACCTGGATGTATCCAGGTAGATGAGAGGTGAGGCAAGGAAAAAGATGACAGAACTCAAAAAGCATTTTATAACATTTCATCAGAGATTGGTCTTTGTTTTTTTCTTTTAACACAAGAACACTTTAAGAAGTTTTGGGGGCGTTCATTGATTAGTGGTTAAAGATGCTGATGAGACAACCATAACCCAGCTCAGAGAGCTTTGGTTCTACTCCCAGCTCTAGCTCCTGACTGTCTTCCTGCAAATACAGACCCTGTGAGGCAGCAGTGGTTCAAGAAGGTGGTTCCTGCCACAGACACACAAACATGAAAAACCAGGATTGAGTCATTGGCTACTGGCTTCAACCTGGTCTAGCCCTTGATCAGGTTCTCATTACCTAACTGCAGGTTGAACTAGCCCTGGGCGATTGGCATTAGGAGAATAAACTAGTGGGTAGAAAATGTTTCTCAGTTCCTTTGCCTTTCAATAAAATGAAAATAAACAGATTTCTTAAAAGTTTGTGAAAAGTGGACTTGAAGATAAATTTATTTTGAACTAATTTTTATTATATTTTTGACAATTTTTACATAATTAGGGTAAAAAATGTCAAGCACTACAGGAAAATGGGCAAGACAATCAATTCCATATTGTTTCCTTAATGTATATGATGTAAAAGGAAATTTTAAGTGTGAAGCCCCACCCAGTCTCCAAACCTATCCCATATCACAGATGTGGGGCATGCTCTGAGGGTCTTGCTCAAGTGGTTTTGATAGTTCAACAGTTATGAATTGCTGCCAATCTCGCCACTCCAAGCATGACGTGGTCTTTGCAGATTCCACTGATTGACATAGTCCATCATATAGTCTCCATTTGCCCAGTATTTCACTGCCAACATATAGCTGAGGTGGTTGATTGACTTGTTCTGTGCTCTGTCATTTGATGGCTTGCATTCTGAGTCTGAAAGCTGGATTGAGGGGATCCCCAAAGAAACTTTGTCTGTGGTGTTCCCAGACAAGATTCTTGTATGTACTAGCAAGAACAGGGCCCAGTACAGTCCATCACCCTGATCAGCTGGTGATTGTGATCACTGGGTTGGTTCTGTTTTTAGCCCCGACTTCCACTGGACCAGTGGGTGTTGCAGTCCAGCCTGGTTCTGCCCAGGACACACTTGGCCCTCACATAAACCAATAGGAGCTGCAGCCTAGTGAGAGCGACCCACAATAACCCCAACCAGGCCCGCCCCCTACCCTGGTTTGCCAGTATGTGTAGCAGACTAGTCCAGTCTGTCCCACATCCCCTTCTGCTCTCATACATGTCAATGGGTATTTACAGCTTAGATCCATCTAGCCAGCTCAACTATCCATCCCTCACAGATGTTGTTGGGTGTCTCTCTGTCTAGCCACCCCAGCTCCTGTGCTAGTTTTCGTGCCCTCCTATGGAAGTGGTAACCCAAGAGGGAGGAGCCCATTATTTCCCTCCCAGTCCACTCCCACTCCCAGATTATGCACTCTCCAGGTGGTTCTGTGGTTTGACTTGACAGAACTAGTCCCCAGTGCCAGCTGCTGCCAGCTGATGCTGTGGCTAAGCCCAAACAACCCTCACCCACTCTAATTTTGTTTGCACCAGTAGGAATAATCAGCCCAGCCTGGTTTTTCCCTGATCTAGGCCACATGAGGTGCACAGGTGTTGTAGCTTTGCTTAGTCTTGTCTACCCCTATCCGAGTTCACGCCTTCCTGTGGGAGTAGCTGTCCAGCAAGGGTACCACCACTTATTGCCCTGCTGGTTCTGCCCCCTCCCTTCCTGGTTCTCAAGTGTGCTGGTTGGGCACTGTGGTCACATCTGGCACAGGCAACCTCACTTTGGCATTCCGTAATGTGCACTAGTTTTTGTCACAGCCGAACCCAGCTCGATCCACACTGTTCTGGTGCTTGGATTTGCCAGTGGATGACGTGAACTGATTCAGCCTGGTCTGCCCCCAACCCATGCCAAATGTATGCCAGCGGGACACTTTCCATGACCTCCTGGCTGTTTCCTTCCATGCTTCTTGCGCTAACCTGTAGGGTCTGTGTCCTGCCAGAGGAGTTTCCTGCGTTCCTCCATCAGAACCCCTCCAAGTGCCATATTTTGCATATACCAGTGGGTCTATGAGCCAGCACTACTCAGTTCACCTCATGTCCTAGCAGGAACAGTGGCTTTTCCTGACTGGCCTTCAACCCATTCTGGTTCTTACTGTTGATTGTTTCAGCCTAGCCACGGCTTGTCCATACCAACACATAGTCATATATGGCTGTTGGTGTTGAGACCTAGCCTAGTCCATCCCACATCTACCCTGGTCCTCCAGAACACCAGAGGTTGTTGGAGTCTAGCCCGGCCTGGTGCGCCCAATCCCAGTCCACACTTGTGCCAAGGGAGATTACAACTGTATCCTGATCAGAATGCAACCCCCTATTCCAGCTTGTGCACTCCTTGGTGGGAACCTCCACCCAGCTAGGGTGTTCCCTTAGGCTCCCAACCGGGCTTGTTCCCAGCCATAGATTGCACCTATGCCATTGGTTGCTCTGACTCAGCTTGGCACAGCCCCTCACCTGTCGCGACCCCGGCCTTAGACACTGTGGTTCAGCATCCGTGGCTCATTCAGCCCAGTAGGTGCAAAAACCTAGCTGGGCATGTCCTGTGCTCCACCCTGGTTTCCAATCTTACTTGTGGGCTAAGGTTTGCTCAGTACTGCCTGGAGCGCCCATTCCATCACCTTTTCATATACTGATGAATCTTTGGCCCAGCCTGTCTGATCCCCAGTTCTGGACCACTTATTCAGGGACTCTCCAGGGGAGGTATAATTCGTTAGGGGAGCTTCCCAAGTTTCTCTCTCTGATTCCCCCCCAGACCCAGTTTTCATACATGCCACTGGGCTTTAAGCCAGTCCCTGGCACAGTCCGGGCCTCCCCTTGGCCTTGCATGAGCTGGTGAATGTTGCAGTCCGGCCCACCCCATACCCCACTCAGAATGCACACTCGAGCGCTGCTGCCTCGACTAGTCCAGACTGCTGTCAATTCTCCAATCTGTGATCAGTGGCAGGCTCCCTGGTCACACCTAGCTTAGTCCACCACCACTCCATCTCTTGAAGTAACCTGTGGGGCTAGAATTTCCATAGGGTTTGGCCCACACATCCCCCACAGAATCTTCCCCCCGGATGTGGTTCTCTAGGGTGTTTGTTAATCTCATGGCCCTGCTTAATGTGACTGGTCTCCGCTGGGTCAGTTCTGTTTCCAGCCTTGTCATCCACTTGGACCAATGGGTATTGTGGTCCAGCTTGAGCCTACCCACTTTATACTCGTTCCTCACGCAAACCAGTGGGAGCTGCAGCCCAGCTGGGGCGACTCCCCATAACCCCCACCAGGCCTGTGCCCTTCCCTAGTTCCCATGCATGCGAGTATGTACCGCAGGTTTGTTCAGTCTGTCCCACATCCCATTAAGCTCTGGTACTTATTAATGGGCATTAAAGCCTGGTTTGACCCAACCAGCCTATTATCCAGCCCACACACATACTGGCAGGTGCCTTTCTGTTTAGCAACCCTGCCTCTGTCCTGGTTTTTGTGCTCTCCAGTAGGAGTAGTTACCCACGAGACAGTTGCCCACTATCTCCCTAGTAGGCCACTCTAACTTCTGGATTGCTCACTCTCCAGGTGGTTCTGGCATTCAACTTAACAGAATTAGCCCTCAGTGCCAGTCTGTGCCATCTGATGATGTGGCAAAGCCCTACCAACACTTGCCCACTCTAATTTTGCTTGCACCATTCAGAACAGTCAGCCCAATCTGGCCCTTCCCCGATCTAGCTCATTAGGCCCACAGCTGTTCCCCTCATCTGTCTCAGCCTTTGCCTTTGATGCTGTGGCATAGTATCCCTGCCTCCTGTAAACCCATTGTTGTAAGAACCTGGGTTGGAATGACATGTGCTCCATCCTGATATCTATTCTTTTTATTTTGAGTTGAAATTTGTTTGGCTCTACCCAGTCTGCCCCCTTCCAGTTGCAGCTCGACCCACACCACATCCTGTTTTAGGATGCTCCTTCGGGTGATGCTGCCTTGATCTGCCCAGAATGCCATTGGTTCCTTTGCCTATAAGTGATGGCAGGTGCCATGGTCACTCCTAGCTTAGCCCCTTGCCACTCCAGCCCATGAGCTAACCTGTGGTACTTGTATTTCCACAGGGTTAGGTCCACACTTCCCGCATAGAGTTTACCCCTGGACCAAATTCTCTCGCGTGCTGGTAAGTGTCTTGACCCTGCTGAATGTGACCAGTCCACTGTTCCACCACCCAGTCAAGTTATGGTGCCCAGCTAGACAGGCCCCCATCCATAGCTTTGGTGTGGACCGGTATGTGGCAATCAGTGAACTCTATGCTAATAGCCATTCTCAGGATTCATAATTTGGATGGTGTTTCAGCCTGGCTCAAATAGATCTTATGGCTGCTCCCCTTCAAACCTTCAGGTCTCAGACCACTCTTTTCCTAAAGTTTCATGTCCCTATTACTGGGAATCACCAGGAATTCATGTCTCACCTACACTAAAGCTGGCCTTATTCATGAGTGTCCCTAAGCAGCTCTGTTTCATATAATAAAAACCCCAGAGCTCGCTGCTGGGTGGCCAGCAGGCAGAGCCTGGCACCATTTGGTGCACTGGCCCAAAGCCAAGGACTCAGCTTTGGCCTGAGTCCCCAGTCTTGGATTCCACCCAGCAGGGGCACCTCCCACAGCTGCCATCCTGTCGGGCATTTCAAGCCACCCCCAAGATCCAGAATGTTAAACTATTTTTAAAATAAATGTCTATGGGCAAATCCGAGCACCAGAACAGAGTAAGGGTCGAGCCAGGTTTGGTTGCAATAAAAACCAGTCCACACTACAGAGTGCCAGGACGAGGTTGTCTGTACTGGATATGACTGCAGTGCCCATCCAGGGCACGT